GTACCAGCACTTAGTCTTGGGGTTAGTCAAGAGGAATGAGAAACTGACGACTGGGATTCTGTTTTTAACCCAGCCAGATACCTCAGCTGGCAAGTGGCTCAGCTTCCGCACCATAAAATGGGTATAATAATAGCTTTCCCTTACCACTGTGAAATATTTAGAATGCAAATCAAGCCAAACCTGTCTTCTTCCAAAGGCGAAGCTTAAACTAGCCTCCGAAATCCTGAATGAGCCCAGATTTCAAGGGAAAACATAAAGTGGGAACCACCTAGAGGTAGTGTAATTTAGTGGTTAAAAATATGTAGACTTTGGAATGGTACAGCCTCATTCAGATCCCAGCAGCTGTGTGATTTGGGGTAAGTTTCCCAATTTTTCAAATCTCCTTTTTTTTTCTCTGGTCAATTGGAAGTAACGGTATATACTTGTGTAGTTAGGATTAAGTGATAGACAGTTAATGCTGCTCTTCAAATTCTTCTAGTAGGTGATCTTCAAGTTAGAGTGACTGAACTAATACTCAGGATGCTAGGGACATTGCCTGAAGCAGTGTGCCACAAATGAGACTTGTCAGCCAGGTCTCAGGTTTCACCCTAAAAATACATACAGATTTGCATTCTACTCCTCAATATAGTCTTGTTTATTTCACTAAAATGGAAATTCCACGAAGCCAAGAAGAGTATCTGTTTTATTTCTTCTATAACATTAAAAAATAGTTATTGGATAAATGAATACATGTACAAATAAGAGTTTAAATTATGTACTTAGCCACAAGGGCAACTGCCCCACCAAATACACAACCGTGTCTTTATTATTTATTTTGTGGCTTTTGTACTCCAGTTGCTTGACTCCACCTCCCCGGATAGGCCCATAATCAAACTTGAGAAGTATTTATTTAGCAGGGAGCCATAGAGGAACTCATTAATAGTAACACTATCATTTCTCTGCTCACTACTTCTCTACCTCATTGTTCCTAAGGCTCTATGGACTTAAAAAAAAAAAAAAATATATATATATATAATT